AGTGACAAAAACTGCCATAGAACCTTACGATCAAAAGAGTCGAATGCCGCCTTGAGGTCGAGAAATACTACCATTGTGCGGCGTCTAAACGTGTGTCTGTGTTCTAGAACCTGACATAGTGTGAATATTTGATCTATACAACCACGTCCAGGTCGAAAACCGGCCTGATTTTCTCTAGTCTGCTCTTCACGAGCTTTGGTTAGGCGTCGAAGTATTATTGAAGCTAATATTTTAGACATTATATTTGTCAAACTGATTCCTCTGTGATTGTCACAAGAGGACTTTTGTCCTTTCTTAAAAACTGGCACAATCAGTGATTGAGACCAGTCAGATGGGATTACGTCCAGTTCCCAAATTCTACCTAAGACCTCGGTTAATCTCATTGCTAATACTGGACCACCATCCTTAAAAATCTCAGGAGTAAATCTGTCAGGGCCTGCTGCTCTCCCTCGTTTCAGATTTCCTATGGCTTTTTTAACTTCGTAAAGAGACGGAGGACCTACATTAGCTTGCCATTCAGGTTGACTAGAGATCATGGGAAATCGAAATGTGGCTGAAGGCCAGTTGAACTGATCCCTGAAGTGTTCTGCCCATCGATCCAATCTCCTGGATTGGGAATGAATAATATGTCCATCTTTCTCTGAGATTGTTTCGCTAACAGTCGGGTTCCTGATTCCGGTTTCCTTAACGAGTCTGAACAATTGTCTGCTATTACCTATTGCCGCTGCCTTCTCCATCTCTCTTGCTTTCGCTACCCACCACTGTTCACGATCACTGCGTAGACTTCTTGTCAGCTTGCGCTTAAGCTGACTCCGCTCTTCATTATGTTCAGAGCCAGGTGGAATGAGTTTCCGAGCATCTATCAGTGCGATAGATGCTGCTAAGATCCAGTGTTGCTCCCTAACCTTGTGGCTTACCTTACTAACAGATATCACTGCTGTTTCCACAGCTTTTCGGATATCATTCCATGCTGCATCGGGGTGGGCATCACATACATGGCTGCCTAACTGTTTTCCTAGTTGTTCCTGAAATATACTCTTAGCTTGACTATCATTAAGTAGGGCCCTAAGAGGTTTCCTTGCAGCGTCTTTCCTACGTTCAGTAAGACGCAGACAGATACGCGCTCGTACTAGAGCGTGATCTGAATCTAAGCATGTGCTCCAGAATGAGCGACAGTCTTCTATCGAGCCCCTCCATCGGTGGCTGATAGCGATGTGATCTATTTGGGTCCAACGTTGGGACGAATTAGGGGGTCTCCATGTTAAAAGATGTTTTTCCTTATGCTTAAAGTTAGTATTTGCAAGAAAGAGGCGGTTATCTGAGCATAGCTGCAACAGACGGTCGCCATTATCTGTTCTTTGAGCCATGATGCTAATAAGATCCACCCAGGTGTCTTTCCCTATCGCTTAGTTTACCTACTTGAGCATTAAAGTCACCGGCCATTATTACTACATCGGAGCGCCTAGCTTTTCGGAGAAGGTCGGAAAGCTTTCTGTAAAACTCATCTTTTACATTATCTGAGCTGCAGTCAGTGGGAGAATAGGCAGAGACGACGAAGAGGCAACGACGAGTGTCCCTATATTTTCGGATCCTTACTGTTTCGTTTAGTCGGACAGCGCACAAACGACTGTCTACTGGGATCCACTCTAGGAGAGCTAGTTCTGCCCTAGGACTCAATGTTATGCCTACGCCGGCGAGGCCACGGGAAGCAGAATCAGGGCTTCCAGATACACGAAGTGTGAATCGAGTTGGTTCTTTATTTTGGCATGGTAAGGTCAGATGAATGACGCTACTCGGATCCTGTATGCGCGTTTCGGAGACGCAGCACACATCGATGGCGCGGGATTCTAAAGTCCTAGCTAAGGAAGCCTGTTGTCCTATTTGGCACAGTGTTCGGACGTTAAAAGCTCCTACGTAAAGTTTAGAGCGTGGTTTCAGCAGACCAGAAATAGCGTTCCGCGTACTCGATTGCAAGAGAAGTGGTGAGTCTTAAACTTAAAGTGTAGCAATTGTTTTAGGAGCTATTGATTCCGGTTATCACATGAAAATACATTATCAGGATGAAACTTTGTACACGAGGTTTATCCATAAATAATTTAATGAAGAAAATCATGACTTGAACCTAAGCACATGCACTAGGACTACTGAATCGTAACAAACAACTATCAAATTCTCAATATAAATTGAATATATGGCCCACTGTTGTCTGGAAATCGAAAGTGTTTACAATAATGTTCTACAATCCCGTTTCTTTTATTAGAGTTCACTCGACAATTTTTTTATTATTTGAATGTTGTAATTTGTTTAGTTGAAATTCTAATATGATCATAACTTTATTTAAATAAAATTTCATTATCAGTTAATTTAAACAAGTGAAATCAATTGGGCATTTTCAAGTAAGAATCGAGTCAAGATATTGTGTTTTATGTATATTTCTGTCGTTTATACTTATCTACTTATCTACCTAAAATGAAACAACAACAATCTGCTGGATTATTGTCACAATGTCAAACTGATTTAGTAGGATTTTGACAACAGCAACAATACTACTACTAGTAATAACAATAATAATAATGATACTATAATAGTAATAATAGTGACAATTATTGGAACAACAAATACAATAAAGAGAAGGCTATACAAAATATTGGAAAAAGAAATTCAATAAGCGAAAAAGGTAAGCAGATTAATACTCTTCAATGACGCATAAATGATTCATTGATTTTTTTTATTCATTTACTAGAACGTCATCGAATACAGACACACCGCCTGTCAAGGTCACATACATCTGTCGTTTAATAATTTCCTTTTGTCATTATTCAAGGAAGTAGGACAATTTTTCATTCCAACCAAACTAGGTACAGTTGCATCTATTTATGGTATGGTCGAATGAGAGAAGGCGGGGGGTGACAGCGGCACCACGACAAATCTATACCGTCATAAAAATCTAAATAATTTAAGGTAAATCCTATTTTTGGTATGTTAGAATATGCACTAAGTGTGAATTTATGTACTTAGCTTTGAGTTATACCATTTGAATGTAAACTAGTAATAACTAATTGATTGATGAAATCCAAATAATTGAAACAGGATTTAAACTTGTGACTTATTATTGTTGCAAGCCGACTGTTTTATTCACTAAGCCATGATATTAAAGGCAATGGATTTAAATTTTAATTCACTTAAACTACTTAATGTCACTAGAAGTTACTAAAAACAATTTTACCATTTGTGAAGTACTTATCTCGATAAGTTAGCGTTAATGATTGAAAACCAAAGTTTAATTTCATGAATGTAAAGATTGCTAGCAAATGATTTGTCATTACGACAAAACAGTCGTATTCTTTCGACTGTTTTCCTCTTCTTTCACTCTCATTTGCTTTACCTACCAGTTAACGTTAGTTTATGATATAAGTAGACTGAAAAATACCTCATATAAAAAGTGTTCACAAAATCTACATAGAATTACTGATTTAATTAAACATTATTTTCCTAACCCGGGTAATATTCAATAATTAAAATGAAATTTACCCAAACATAATTATGTCCCCCCTAAAATTAGGTTTCTACATTTTATTACTTTCTGGAAAAAAAAAGAGAAAATAAAAAGCAGGTACATTTTCTCTCTTTTATTTCTCTGAACAAAAAGCCGATGTGGAAGTAACAAAAAAAAGCATAAGCATAACTTGTTCTTACTAACAAGTAAGTAGTTCATAATGACAAATTACAATTGAGACATATTTATTCTACAGTCTTTACACGGTATACTAGCTGACTAAGAAACAATATTATAAATCATTACATGCCAGCTTAAATAAATCTTAACACAGAATAGTTCTTATGCAACATTCCAGATTGATTTGCTAAATACATAAAAATCAACACTGAAATAAAAATGAACCATGAATAGTACATACATTGAAAAACATACTACTGTAATTCAGTCAAATATGAGTAGTATGAATTGATGTTGAGTTAAACAAAATTGTCCAGAAGAAGAAAATACTATCATAGAGAATAACAAAGTAAACTATGTATAATTATAGGGCAAGCTATGATGAGTAGAGTGCTATCAGATAATTTTTTTTACCAGGATGACAGTTTTTACGGAAAACGATGGACAATAATATATATCATGAATTGATTGAAGTTCGAAATGTGGTTTATTGGATTTTAGGTCAGTTGTTAAAACATAATACTCACCAGGAGAAATCAAGGATTTAATTTCAATTCATGGCATTAGTATATATTAGTGTTAACTGGTGGGAAATTCCAGAATATGGCTTAAAGGAAAACAACTATTCAGTGTTCACTAGATTTCCATAGTTCTCATATTGACCATCGCAAATTAGATAAACAAACATACTGGTTGATTGACATAATGTACTTTAAAACATACACAGATTGTAACGACATTGCAATAAGAATGACAACAAAACAGCTGACTGAATCGGAAAGTTGTAACAACATTATATTTTTCCACAGTTTACAGGCCAATAATACCTTTATGATCTAACAAGCAAATTGACTTCAATTGGAGAACTGTTGGAAATCAGGTATCATTGAATAGATGTTTCATTTTAATTCCAGACATCTTAAAATACTTCATCCACAACCTTTAGGTCTTGTGATAAGTGTATCACCCCTAGATGAGTGATTTGAAATTTAATGGTCGAATAACCTCTGGTTTTCAGTGGTAATTGGTATTTGAAGAGTATGACGGTACATCAGTGGTAGGAAAGACAACAATGCAAAGCAATTACTTATTATGTAACTAAGATTTTCATCACTGATTAGTCTGAAAAGTTATCTATAGTTCAAAAATATCATGAATTTCTTAATTATATCATCTTATTAAGTTAGTCAGTTGATTAATTTATTAAAATCTATCCTGTTTGAATTTTTAAGGACTGGCTATGTAAGTGAAATGAACTAAATGATACACAAAAAAGTGAGTAGAGGTACAAAATCATTAATAATAAATATGAAAAACAATTTACGTTAGGTATAATTGAATCCAAGTCTGGAGTAGCATCTGGTCCAGCGGTGATAAAAATATTAGAATTCATTATTGTTTCAGATTTTCCAAGGGTAGAGAAATTATTTGGAATAGATGATAAGTCTGGAACACAAAAATAACCAGCCCACAGCATTCTAGGTCGTTTATAATGACCTTGATTGACCGATGAAGGATGTACGGTATCTATCAAAACATAAATAAATAGTTTATTACAGTATTAAAATATGTAACTGAAGCGCAAAGTAAACTTTAAGAACATGAAAAGAATACTCTCAATCAATAGATGCATTGGAGATAGAAATGGAATCTAAGAGGCATACTTCATCTTGTTTGATTATATTTTCCATGAAAAAGCTTGGACCAGATTGCCAGGCGAAACGTTGGATTTACTTAAAATTCATTCGCTGAGATTTTACAAATATATTCTTCTTTTTAATTTAGTTATAATGTTGAAAAAAAAGTCACTCTATGAGAAGATTCCACATCAAATTCATGCAATTAGTTTAATCTTATGATTATGCTTAAAAGCAATTCGTTTAATATGACATTATTAGAGACTATTTATTATACACCAGGGTTTTATGTCTGTGGTGATTAACAAGAATATGTGTATTTGCCATCTTACGGAGGCCAAGGGTTAGTTTCGTTTACTAACGATTCTAACTTTAATCAGTGTGCCACAGTCAGCAATAAAGTTACTGAGTTATTAAGGCTACAACAAATATCCTGTTGTTGAACCGACATATTTACACTAATCAATCGTTGATTAGTGTAGTGCTTAACAGTGATCAAAGAACTTCATTTCAAAAGAAAAACTTAGATGTAAAGTTTGTAGTGATAACTTTAAGTTTCAGTTGATTTTCAACACGGATTGTTATCAACTGGAGGAGGTGACCAATGAAAATAAAAGGTCAATAAATAACGGTATGATCATTTATGGACAGTAGTGAAAACAAATAAACTGAAGTACATAAGTAATCTGATTTTATGACTGAATGGTTGTCGCTGAGATACACCTTATTGTGTATAGGTTAGCGATACTTTATGAATGATTAAAGCAGAACAGATGTATTGATCAGTTAGATTAGCTTAATTTAAAATACTAGTAGATTTCTCTAAGCACAAAACCAGGTTATTATTGATAAAAATAAGAACGGCGACAAGTGATCACGATATAATAATCATATATCCGTACAAACATAGCTTAGATGATAATAACCAGACTAAACAAAAAACATGTATATACTATGTCTTCTACTCACTTTCACCATCACACACGCACACCCTGTCTTCAAACAAAAAATAGTTCACTGGCTAAAATGCCACCAAAATAAAACTTTAAAGAAAACAACGACATTAGCGGACCACCCATACAAGTGAACTTCGATTGAAATTTAAAAAAGGTACAGACTTTTTTTAAAGAAAGTAAGTAACTTTAGTGTACTGTCAATAATGCTATGTACAGCTAGCTTTTTTTGGATTAACAAGTTGAAATAACTATACAATAGCAGTATACAGAGGATGAACTGAATGATGGACGTGACAATCTATAAAAGTCATACTAAAAAATGATACGTCTGTTAATGGAACGATTATTGGTGGCTTCCTAGCCACTACTTATAACCACTGGTTACATCTACATTCCAGATAAAAGTACAGAAAAGGCAAGAAATGTGAAGTTAATTATATGTGGAAAATCGAGTGCATTCAGAGTTAAAAAATAGTTTTATTCTTACGGAAGCATATGAAACATAATAACGATGTAGGTAATTATCTAACCAAAACGTGACATGTCTCTCTGATAGCTGATTGAATGAAACGCTCCTAGGAGTTTTTTGGGTTATTAGAGACTCTTACAAGATATATATACTAATGAACAGAAACATGTACAGTCATATATATATATATATATATATATATATATATATATATATATATAAACAGTATGGAAAGAAATGATTACTGCCCTGTACAAAATAATGATACTATAGTTTGTGCTATTGATGTCGACAGATATAAGTAGTATGTATCACCAATTGAAAGTGAAATCCCTGGTGGCAGAATATTAAGATGATGAAAGAGAAGAGAACGAGAATTATTATTATGGGAACGAAGAAACGATCAAATCTGAGACAACTGATTGACACTTTGCAAATGAAGTATTTGCTGTATGGTTCACAGATTTTACTAAGACATTCTGTAATTTTGCATTCAAATACATTCGGTTGTCCCCACTTGTGTGTTCTCCTTTACTACAATGCTGCTGTTATAGCAGTGTGTTTTAATGTGTTTATTTAGTCATTACAAACATTGATTCAATTAGGTTTTACCCCTCTTCTTTTCTCTCTCTCAATCTATCTATAATTTTGAATTTTATCTTATCACGCAATAATGAGTCACATATCTGAGCTGAGAAAAAAAAGAAAACATAAAGGAAGAAGACAACTACAGCAACTTTCAGCTATTCATACGAGAATAACTTTTCAGGCAAACACTAGAAACAAAACAAAAGTAAAATATACTTAGAAGTAGTTATAAACAAAACAGAGAAAGTATGGAATGTATGGAATGAAATTTTACTGAGATAGAAAAAGGAATAATACAATTTTTTATGAGAAACATTATCATAGAAAATATATTAACCTATGTAGAGAGGCAATTCGCACAGAATGCATATATGCCAATAAGAGACTGATCAATTGTAGTTCTAAATATCAATGGGAAGATTCAAACATACAATACAATATGTAGAGTAGGATTAATCAAATGAGAAAAAAATGCAAATGAATAATCGTTGTTCCATTGAAAAAAAGGGATTATTTTTTAAAGGAATCAATTTCTAAATATTATGTTAAACGAATTAACATGTAGATTGAATATTAGTTGGTTGATGTCAAGAAATAAAATTATTGGCTGTTTAAAAAGATGAAAATCTACTGAATTTCAAATAGAATAGCATCAATTACGGAGTGATGGCTGGAACTTTCAATGCTTTTGACTTGATCACTAACATGATTAAATTTGTGTCAGCCAATATAACAACACTAGAAAAATAGATCTCTTTAACTGTAGCTCTACTTTAATCTATCAAAATTCTACCATATTACAGCATTTCTTACTTTACTGACAAAAGCAAACTGAAAAAGCAACCAAATAGTCAATTTATAGAAAAGTACAACTATCTATTTCTATTTTGGATGTACTCATCTGTTGATTTATCTTATGTTATGATCCGACAAGAGATCTAGAGAAATCATAAAGCATTAGCGTGAATGGTAACTTCTATATCCCTCAACGAAAAATACTAATTTTCTTCTGAGTATTGATTGTAATGGCTGAGTCATTGAGCTTTAGATAAATGTAAAGAAACCTATCTCCATAAACTATTGTAATATATGAAAATAATTAAATCAAATTACTTAAAATAATAGTGAACATAGGCAGTAAATGTAGGACGAAACAAAACAATAATTCGAATGTTCCAGTTCACTTTATCCTAAAATTATCCGCACTCATTATCTTAATTATCAACCGAATTATGTACCATCGTACTAAAACACAAATTGTGATGAAAAGTGACCTTCAACTAACTCACTAACTAGTTAATTAATTAACTATTTGTATGAAGGTTAGTGATATTAACTGGCTGCCCAAACTAAAACAGACAGCGTTGAATTCGCAAATACAAATTACCGGTTGGAAACCAAATATCATATCCAGCAAACTAATGATCTACAGTATACGGAAATAAAATATGAAAACTGTCATTATATGAAAGTCACGTAGTTAAAAATTACTTTTCATTGGATAAACATGCATTTCTTAGCCAATGAAAATCAACAAGAACTGGTAAGCAACTAAACCACCATGGGTATAACGTAGAAACAACTTTAACATTTATCCACTAAAGGCTAACAATGGAATCAAAGTACAAAAAACGTCTTTTGTGTTATGTCCCACTGTGTCATCACATGTATTTGTGTACGTACATATTTAAATGTTTTCAATCAGACCACAGATTTAAACTTTCCAATGTTATTTACAATAATAGCTATAAGATCTATAAAGCATTATTGTTTTATTGTAAGATTGAATAATGAGTGTACTTAGTATTTTGCACATTTTTTTAGGATGAAAAACTATAATGTCATAATGATTAGTTAGATGGTGATTATAATTTATCGTTGAAATAGTTATTTGCGAACAAAAATGGCTTTTCGAATGAACAGACTAATCTTGACTCGATCAATGATCTATGGGCAATATATTCATCCACAAGATATGCAAGGTTTGAGTTTGACCAAATATAAGATTACAGGTGTGTGTTGGATGAAATAATTATCTAAACGATTTCTTGATTATTAATGGCTTTTTAGTTAATGTCTACTAGGTAGAAAAGTCACTTCACGCAGTGATTGTAACTATCAAATTATTTGTGTTTTACGTTAAAATGATCAATAAATAGTATGATATGAATACAACTTAAACTATAGATTCTAGTGTTTAAGTATTGACTATCTTTACTACTCTATAATTAAACAATCTTACGTAACAGTGAAACGTTCAAGATGAACCTATGATTTCATGCACAGATAAAAAATATCGTCATAATCATTATCTCAATATTATTAGTGATATAAATGAAATATATCATTAAAACAACACCTAATTACATATATATATCTTAGATGCTCAACTTTATTTTAACTACTTTATGTGTGCAGGCACGGACATATATGATGGAGAGAGGGAGAGAAAAAAGATCATGTAAGCTGGACAAATTTGTAAAACGACATATATATATATATATATATATATATATATATATATATATATATATATATATATATATATATATATATATATATATATAGTAGCATTTTGGCAGTACGTGTGTGGATTTTTACGGCGAATTAATATCAGCTTTAGAATTACTGGAATCCACAGTGTACTTAACAACAGTTGCGTTCTAAGTGAGAAACTTCACAAAATTATTGACTAACAGCAATTCAGGATACAATCCCAGAACCTTCAAGTTTTATTGAAAAACTTATGACTAAGCACTTCATTAAATCAAAATAAGTAGTGAAATTAGCGTATAGTGTTTTATTACATACATCGAACTTGTAACACGTTCGGAACTTAACTTTTTATGAGATTTTAGTGTCAATTGTCAGATTGCC